GCGTGACTGGATTAACTATATGGCTGTTGCCTCCAGGGACCAACATGAAAATGAGATGTTGCATCTCAAGAGACTATCACAGCAAGAAAATTATAAATAACTATAAAGGGTCTTCTCAAAACAATTCACTGATGAACCTTGAATCAGTTTAGGCTGCTTTACCTTTTAATTAAAATGGAGTCATGAATGACTAACTGCTTCTAAAGGAGCCTAAAAATTGATACATTTAATTTGAGTGGGAAACATGCTTCGTTTGGGGGTTTTGTTTCTTTTAAGAGATGATCTGAGTCTGAAATCTGACTGAATCCAAACTTGGGGAAATTTGTGGGATTTGGGTGCTGGAGTTGTGAGCTTCTCTGCGGGCTTGGGGACCTTACAGGTTCCTGGCTGGTTTCTAAAGTTGCCAGTTCAAGCATAGTCTGATTCTGGTTCTGTTTTGTAACTTCAAAGGCTCCTTGCACACGGCTCTGTCTTTCCTGGGCTGAGTTTTGCATGTCCTCTGTATTAAGTCCCCAGAGGTTTTCCTTTCTCAAGTATTTTTTGGATGGAGGGATTTTTTCGGTCAGCGCCTTTTATGTGTTTCCAGTTTACCCAGTGGGACATTTCCATGGCAGATGTCTTGGCGTCATCCTAAAAAATTTATTCCATCCATTTCTATCTTTTTTTTCCACTCAATTTCAAAGATAAGGAATTCTTGAAGACTCTGATGAACTTCAGTGTTTGTTTTAATTTCACTGAGTTTGATACCTAGTATTTTTCTGCAACCTTTGCAACAGTGTGGTACAGTTGTGAACACATTGTCATATAATATTATCTAATATAAATGTCATATAATATCTTCATCTGGAAAGAAGAAAAAATTTGGTAAACTTGTGACAAGTCTGGGCTTTTGTCCTTGCCCTTACTTGTCAGTACTACCCCAGCTAGGGTGACCACCTTTTCAAAAGGGCCTGCCTTCCCCAGCCTTTCCCCACCATTGCCACCACTGCCAGCACAGCCAGACCAGAACCGAGCAAGTAGAGTGGGGGATGGATGCCGGCTGCCCATTGTGGGCTCAGGGCTCCCCGCCATGCTGCCTTTCCATCAGGAGCCCTGCACCTGCTGTGTACCTCCTGCCTACCTGGCAGCAGCAGGAAGCGCAACTCAATGCTGCCACTACCCACATTGTTGCCAGGAGGGCAGGGGGTGCCATGCCATGGTGGCGCAGCCAGTGAGAGGCCCATGAGGGCAGGGCAGCAAGTTGGGGAGCCCTGATCCCACAGCAGGCAGCCCTCATCCTCCCCCACCCCACACACAAATCTGGAGGGGAGCACATGCCCCCCACCCCCTGGACTAGCCACCCATGGCTCCATCCTGCTTCATGCCCTGACTGGGCAGAGTCCCCATCCCCTGATCCACTCCCTCCCTCACCGTGGGGGTCTCAATCTGCTGCCCCCTTCAGTCTTCCTTATCCTTCCCCCCTCATAAACTTACCTGTAGGGAGCTGGTCCCCTGGGTGCCTGGCTGTTTCCAGCCACGTGCATGCAGGCGCCCCCTGCCTCCCACTCCTAGTGGCCCCTTGCAGGCTGGAGCACTGCCAGCTTGCAAGGGGAAACCCACTGTCCCATAGTCATGCAGTCTGAGACCAGGACATGAGGTTCCCATTGCAGGAATGTCCTGCCCAGTTAGGGACAGGTGGTCACTGTAACCCCAACCTACTCCACCTCTTTTTTCTCGTCTGCCATGGTAAACAATGTATTTGGAGGGAGGCTATTATCATGGCTTTCTTACTGCCCTCTTAGCCCTGCTCACACTTTGCTGCCAGTTCCCCATCTGCCCTCTTTTGGGACTCTCCTCCTCACTCTCTCCTTCTGTACCCAGCTGTGTCCCATGTGGCCGCATAGATGCACAGGGCTGGGCTGGGAGCACCGCACCTCTGTGGGCAGGTGGCTATGGGGGGGGGCTAAGATTAATTTTGGGAGGACTGTACCCCCCCAAAGCCCCTCCAGCGCCACAGCCCACCTGCCTGCAAAGATGCAGTACACCACCTCCCACCGCCCCCCACCCCCC